CGACCCTCTTATCCTCTTTCTTGCTTCATCCTGCATCTTCGTGATGCCCCGCTTGTCCAGGGTAGGCTGCGTGCGCCAGCCATGAGTGGACCGAGAGGCCTACTGAAGGGGGACCGCGACCGGGCACCGGGTGCGTATCCCGCCGAGGGTCCCTGCGCGGGCTGAGTTTGGCGGTTGCGCCCCCCCCCCCCCCGCCCCTCCCCCAAGGTGCATGCCGTTCTGTCTCACCGTTACCCAGTCTCCTTCATCCTATAGCCCTGAAATGATCACTGTTGATCAAAAGGGCTCTAATACAAATAACCAAACCAAACCAAACCGTGCGTGTTGCTCACAGACTTTGCGTGCGCACTATTGTCAGACCAATCTTCTTCAGTTACGAGCATTTTCTCACGGTCAATCGCTTACAAACAGTTGCGTACATGCCTACGATCTGCTGTTAATGCGAGCATTTGCCATGTGCTCTCTATAGTTCGTACCATAAGAATATTTGCATGTGAACTTCTTCATATGGGCTTTTGCGTAAGCACTTCTGTCGTAGAGGCTTATGACTAACCCTCTTTCCTTACGAACAATTGTGTACGTACTTTGTGTATGCGAGTTAAAGAATGAGATTGCGACACGATTTTTTTCGGAAATTATCAACGGCTGGCCAAGGTACAAGCAATAATAGACTAGCAGGACAACACAGTGAAATCTATACCTCGTTTGTGTTTTGGCCCGTGCGCAAGTTTTGTTTGGCGCAAGAGGCCATCTGACATATTTTGTGAGCGGCGGCTGTGGAAATACCGAATAGGGTGTCAGTCTGGTTACCAGATCTCTGTTTAAACTGCTTCACAACAGCGTAACCAATTCAGTGCCCTGAGGAGCATAGAGCAAGTGCTCTTGTTTCACACGGCTCCAAAGCACACCGAAGTATGGAAGCAATGCTTTTAGATACAAGCGACAACGGTTTTGAATTATCACGTGACTGTTGCCATGGCGCCCGCCGTTCCTTTTGCGAATCACTTGCTGACGCGCGGTGCGTACCGTTCCAGGACTGCAGCCGCCTGGCCCCGCCTTCGTCGGTTCTGTACCTGCGATTTCGTCGCCCGAGTAGGTACGCCTTGTCCGCGTGCGCGCTGTTGTTGGCAGCTTCAAATACGCTTGGCAAGACACATCATCGCTTGCATGGGCACTCTGCTCATGTGGAAGGGTACCGGACCAAACTCGTCTTTGCTGCGTCTGAATACACCTCTGACTATTGGAATGCATGACACGGAAGCTACCAGCCCTTAGCCACAATCGTTATTAACTAACGCTGGTTAACCATTATACAGGCCGACTGGTTGACCGGCAGGCGGAAAATTCAGGCCGACACCGACTTGACCCCCCCCCCCCCCTCCCCTCAAAGCCGTTTTGGGTGTTACGCGCGGGCGAAGGGAGCTCACATTATGTGGTTGGTATGAACACTATGTTTAGAAAGTCACCGAACTTCATATCCTTGGGTCGCATTCTTTAAAAGAGCTGCCAAAAACAACACGGTTCGTGTTAGTTCGCTTGAGAAAACTTCACCGAAACTACATTAGCATCGGGCGGCGCAACAGTTTGGTGATATATCACCACTTCATGGTGATACATCTCCAGTACGAATAGCCCAGCTCCGGCTTCCAGAGCACCAGCCGACCCCACTAGCCAGCTGGGGCTGATCAGCCAGCGAGTTCCTGTTCCCTGCAGCAGCCCACAGTCGCCCCCCCCCCCCCCCCCCCCGAGGCGCCAGACACCAGCAGGCTTCCGACGGCAAGTGTATTGACCAGCCGTCCATTTCGGGCACAAGATCCGCTCTTTCGGTCCACTCCAGTAACATCCGCCCCATGTTTAACACTAATACTGGCGGCAGGCGGGGTGGGCGCGGCCGGCCCGGTCACCGGACCCGGCGTCCTCACGCGCGCCGCGGCCTCCTACCGCCGCCGCCGCCGCCGACGGGAAGGCGGTCCACCGAGCGCCGGCACCGGCGGCGGCGGCGGGCGGCGGTGTCCTGGCCGGGCGTGCAGCAGCCGGCGGCTCACGCGGGGCCGGCGGCGTCCACCGCGCTCACGCGCCACACACTAATAAAGCACATCACTAGATGTTTACACACTAGATGCGACCGAAGGTGTGAGGCGTAAGAGCACTGAGGTAGAGCCGAGACCGGCGGTCTCGGAGACGGATGGGCGGTCCGGCGGACCACGGACCGAGCGGGACCGCGAGGCCGGACCGCGAGAAGGACCACCGGGTGGGTCTCGAGCGGGCGGAGAACCACGCCACTTCGGAACACTGGAGCCGAACTGACCGCCGACGCGTCACTCCGGCAGAGCGCGCGGCGTGGGCGGAAACCGACGGACGCCTCCTGCGCCAGCCTCTGGGGGACGTCTGGGCTCAGGTTGACGGAGCAAGACTACAAACCGACGCACCGCAGTGTCGCATCGCGTTGGTTTCAATGCTGCGCCTTCTAGTCCGATGTCAATCCATCGCCATCGCCGACTGGGCGGACGGATGGCTTCACCACGAAGCGACTTTTCGAGGTGCGTGGATTCGCAATCTTCCTCACTGGATGTTTGAACTACGTCACTACGTGAAACGTTGCACAATTTTCGAAGCCATCCATGGACATGCCGAGCTCATGAACAACCCAGTCGGTTTCCACCGAGGTACTGAGGCATGAATTAAACAAAAAATGAGGCATCAAGTAGCCAAAACCGCTCACATTGGCAACACAACTGAACAAAACAAAAAATCGCGATTGAATCGCATTCGATTCGTTAAATTAAAATGTACAACTAAATATACTCTGATAATTCGTCGCCTTTAAAAGGCTCTGGACAAAGGTCCGGAGAGCACCATCAGAGGACCAGTGATGGGTGATACGTCCAGTTCTAGAACGTCAGGTCAAGTCAGATCGGGCCCAGTCCGGTCAGAACCAGAACGGTCTGGTCCCGTCAGGTCCAGTCCCGGCCAGTCCCGGTCTGTTGCGGTTAGCTCCGGTCGCCTGCTTTCTCGCTCCAGTCGAAAGGCGAGGTCGGCGGGGCTGGAGATGCTGTCGGGACGGTGAGCCGGGACGTCCGGCCGCGGAGAAAACAGTACAGAACGCGTCGGCGCACAGGCGTGACACACAGCCGCGCACAGACGCCGGGCAGCTGGGCGACGCAGCACGTCCGATGCACGACAGCAACCAAGGAAACGGTGACACAGAGCAAAGAGGTGGAGGAGCCAGGGCAGCGCGGCGGGGTCGGAAACCGAGGAACAGACGGGAAGACGGAGGGGAGACGGGGTCCATCGCCGGCGGCTGCCAACACTGACCAGGCTGCGCGGAACGGGGCGGCGTCGAGCAGACACACACACACGCAGGCGAACACAGGGCTGGCCACCGCTCTACATGCGGCCACGGAAGCGGCCGGCACACTGCCGGCTACGAACACGGCGCGCCTCCTGCCGCTCGGCGGCGACGGCGGGGCCGCTGCGCGGCGCCGCCAGCCGCTGGCGGCAGGAGCGGCAACTCTAAGCGCTACAGCTAATAACCACAAATTCAAATGCTACGGCTAGGATATTATTTAAAATATAAAACGGACAGACATGCTCACACCAAGCGCGCGTCCTTCTACTCTTCACTACCAGTTAAACGCAGTGCCGGCCGACAGCCCGGCGCCGGCAGACACGCGGCTGATTGAGAGACGCGCACGCTCGTGTCACTCTCCCTGTCGCATGACAGGTGTGACATCGTACACCTGCAGCAACCCAAACCCTACCCACACTGGAGACTGAAGCAAGAGAGACATGCTACGTCACGCAGCGGCACTCCACAGCACTGCGTCAACTCTTCCACTCTGCATGCCGTGGCCCCACGTCGGGCGCCATCCGGCGCGCCAGTGCAGCCATCCGGTGGACCAAGATCAAACTTGAAATTCCACGACGCGCCACTGCATCTGCGCCTTGTCTGTTCAGACTCGCCGTGCACGTCCTGTTTTGCTCTTCGGTCGGGAACAGCGCCAGCGCTGGCCACGCCCATCGCGGGACGGCGCCTCCCTCAGGGTATCGAGATCAGACCGACACGGACCTGTGGCGCCACCGTCGGCTCCGCTAATGCTACGCTTATGGATCGGTGAGGCCGAGTGGACGCCCGGAACAGCATGGCGCTCGACGCCAGATGGCTTTATACAGGTGATGAAGATGGGATGGCTTTTTCTCGGGGAGGCGGGGCGCCGACGGGCGACGACCACACTAGCGGCATCCAGTAGAAAAACGAACAACTACAACTTCTGAAAGTGGCATCTAGATGGGACGGGTGTCACGCAGGGGGCTGCTGCAGGGCCATGGAGATCCGTAACCAGGAGTTCTTTCTTGACCAGCTTGTTTTTCCTGTTTGTCTTGCAAGAAGCCCTGCAAAATATGAATTCAAATTCAGAACAAAAACACCCACTAGAGAGAAGGGTACGCTGGGTATGTCTCGCACCATACCGATTATGCCGCGTCAAAGCGTGTGATCACTACAACTCAAGATGTCATGTTGGGGTACATTCACAGGAAGTTTAAAATGACGTGCTCATTAAGGTATCGTTGAAACGTTAATGCCCTCGAGGTACCATAGCGCCGAATCAACAGTGGCCCAGTGATCAACAGCGGTGAGCAGAAGCAGTCCGCAGTGAGCAGTCTTTGCTAGTTACAAAAGAAGCTGAGGAATGCCCGCGACGATAACCGAGTCAGCTAGTGTTGTTGCTCGCACATCAGATATTCTCCGACGCCCTGTTGTTCTCTATTGCAATGAGTGCTTTAGTCACCCACCACGAACCCACGGGTGTCTGGCAGTGTCACAATCCTGAATCCCTGGTTCCGCTGCTGTGTTCCCATAGGTGCGGCAACCGACCCGCCCCGCTCCGCGCCCGTCCCCAGCCTCGCCTGCAGCTGAGCAGGCCCAGCACTCGCCCCGCCCCGGCTGCGCGCCCGTCCCCAGCCTCACCTGCAGCTGAGCTGGCCCGCCGGCGGTCATGCTAAACGCCTGCCGCGCCGTGCAACACGATCGACACGAACTCGTCGTACTCGGGCGGCGTCACGTGGCAGAGGCGCACGTGCATGCACGACAGAAACATCTGCTGGCACTGCTGCACCAGCGGCGTCAGGATCTGCCGGCGGCGGCGCCGCATCAGCGGTCTGACGTTCGCCGCAGTGGGCTCACGGACCAGCGCGTACGGACCACCCGCGTCAGCCCAGACCACGAACGGGGGTGCGGGCCTTACACGGGCGTACCAAGCCCCGGCTCATCTGCTGAAAGTGACACTCCAAAAACCATTGCTAAACGCGCCGTTTTTCCACAAAAAGTCGTCGTGTAGGGTAACGACGGCCGCGCGAGCGACCAGCGCGCCGAGCTGATGCGTATCTTTGCGCAACCAGAACACCTGTCGACGGCATCAGTGTGTCCACATATAGAACTTGCCTCCTGCACAGCAGCACGACCTGGTCTGCCACAGGCTCCTGGAGCGGCCGGTCAGCGGCCCGAACCGGACCCCCCCGCTCCCCAGCCTGTGATCTCGGCGCCCGAGACGGGCCGTGACCGACCCCGGCGCCCCAGCCAGTGACCTCGCCGCTTGGCCCGGTACCGTGACCTCGGCGCCCAGGCCGGTCGCGAGCGTGACCTCACCTGTGACCGGTACGGAGGCGCCGTGTTGTTTCGGCTCAGGTAGGAGCCCACCTCGCCGGCGATGTCGTACAGCACGAACGGCGACACCACGGAGTTAACGGTGCACAGGCAGAACTGGGTGCACGTACGCGTCCCTGGTGACGGGGAGACGACGGGAGGGGGCCGGTTACGGTCAGACAGGCGCTCCGTCTACAGCGGCGTTGGCAGGCCCGCCGGCACGCTGCCGCGAGAATGGCGCCGGGGCGGCTGACACTGACCCCACCAGAATGAGTGTGGGTCAGCTAAGAGGCTCCCTAAACTTCTGTGGGCCCCTCGTGCGCATGGTAGCGGCATAGAGCTGATCGACAGCGGGCTGCGTACGTCGTCGATAGGCGGACGTCCACTTCTCGCTCGTTTCAAACACCAAATCATAGTGAACAGCGCGGTATCCGACAAGATCTGCTGATGACTAAACTACAGCTGGGACTGATCCATCCCACATCTCCCGAACCTCCGCCTGTTTCCATCGCTTCTCTGTCCTCCCGCCGAATGCCCCAACCCGACCTCCGCCTCCCCACCGCTGGCCGTGTCACCGCGTACCTCTGCCGGCGACGGAGGCAGCCCGCCCCGCCCCGCCCCGGCTGCAGACTCCTCGCTCGCCGGCGGTCAGCCCACCCCAGTCCATCCCACCGCACACCACACTCCGGCGGACACTCACCCATCTTCAGGCCACCCTGCAGCAGCCACTTGACGTCGTCACCGTACGGCGGCGTGCGCGAGTACTTATGGCGCGGTCATCGTGCACGCGCCGCGCCAACGTCTCCAGCGCCAGCATGCCCACACGGTACGTCGAGAAGAGGTACTTGAGCGGTGGCGAGCCCAGGATCCGCGGCACCGGCGCATGACGGAAGGGACGGCCCGTGGTCACGCGGACCCACAACAAGAGAAGACGAGAGAAGGAAGAAAGAGAGAAAAAGAAGAAGAGAGAGAGAGAGAGAGAAGGAGAGAAGAGAGAGAGAGAAGAGAGAGAGAGAGAGAAGAGAGAGAGAGAGAGAGAGAGGAGAGAGAGAGATAGAGAGAGAGAGAGGAAGAGAGAGAGAGCGAGAGAGAGAGAGGAGAGAGAGAAGAGAGAGAGAGAGAGAGAGAGAGAGAGAGAAGAGAGAAAGAGAGAGAGAGAGAGAGAGGAAGAGAGAGAGAGAGAGAGAGAGAGAGAGAGAGAGAGAGAGAGAAGAGAGAAGAAGAGAGAGAGAGGAGAGAGAGAGAGAGAAGAGAGAGAGAGAGAGAGAGAGAGAGAGAGAGAGAGAGAGAGAGAGAGAGAGAGA